GAATCGTGCAAGCAGAGCCTGGACGTTCATTACATATTGTTGCATGCGTTCCTCTTTGGTGTCGAAGATACCGTAGACCTGATTCACTACCAGTTGGGATTCACAACTCGAGTCCTGCAATCAAGGCCTCATACTCTGCTTCATTGTTAATCAAGGGAACAGTTCTTACGGCATGCCTCAAGGTTTCTCCCGAAGGCGTTATTAGTACTACACCGATCCCGGACTCTTTCACATTGGAAGCTCCGTCTGTGAACAAGGTCTAGACTCCCGACGTCGATTCCGACACCATCACTACTTCTTTGGTGGCCAGAGGCAGCAGTCCAAGACTGAAATCGGTCATAAAGTCGGCCAAAACTTGTGACTTGATCGCAGTCCTAGGTTTATACTCTATGTCAAATTCACTCATTTTGACCGCCCACTTGGCTAGTCGATATGAAAGTTCAGGTTTGTGAAGGATATTCCGCAGGGAAAAGGTTATCACCACGGCTATCAGGTGACATTGGAAATAAGGCCTAAGCTTTCGAGCTACGACTACGAGAGCTAAGGCCAATTTTTCGAGATGTGGGTAGCGGGTCTCCGCTCCCGTTAAAATTTTACTAACGTAATAAATAGGAGATTGCGTACCTTTATCCTCGCGGAATAAGACGGCACTTACCGCTACCTCCGAGACCGCTAAGTAAATCAGCAACTGTTCACTTTCCTTCGGTGTCGATAGTAATGGAGGGCTCGATAAATACCTTTTCAAATCTTTCAGAGCCTGCTAGCATTCCGGAGTTCATTCGAAGTTCTTCTTCTTCTTCTTCAGAAGTGAGAAGAAGTGATGGCACTTTTCTGAAGACCGGGAAATGAACTTGCTTAAAGCGGCTAGCCTTCCTATTAACCTCTAAACCTCTTTCACATTTGACTACTGGTCGGGAATGTCTTCGATGGCTTTAATTTTATCGAGATTGACTTTGATCCCCCTTTGTGACACCAGGAACCCTAAGAACTTACCGGTGCTGACTCCGAATGCACATTTCTCGGGATTAAGCTTCATGTTATGCTTCCTTAGGATGTCAAAGGTTTCTTGGAGGTGTTTCAGATGATCACCTGCGTTCAAAGACTTAACCAGCATGTCATCTATATAAACCTCCATCGTTTTCCCTATTTGCTTTTCAAACATTTTGTTTATGAGCCTCTAATAAGTGGCTCCGGCGTTCTTAAGCCCGAAAGGCATCACATTATAACAATATGTGCCAAAGTTTGTTATGAATGAAGTTTTTTCCTGATCCTCCGGGTTCATTTTGATTTGGTTGTATCCATAATAGGCATCGAAAACTCATCAACTCGTGCCCGGCCGTCACATCAATCATTTGATCAATATTTGGCAATGGGAACGAGTCTTTTGGGCACGCCTTATTCAGATCCTTATAATCTACACGCATATGAAGTTATTATTCTTTTTTGGAACTACCTTTACATTAGCTAGCAAGTCAGGATAGGTTACCTCCGGATTGAACTGATATCAAGCAATCGAGTTACCTCTTCTTTGACAAATTTGTTCCTGACATCAGCAATAGGACGTTTCTTCTGCCTTACTGGAGCGATGTTAGGATTCAGGCTTAACTTATGCACGGCCACCTCCGATGGGATACCTTTCATATCCACTTGCAACCACGCAAAACAGTCAATGTTAAATTTAAGAAATTCTATAAATCTAGATTTGAGCTCGAGGTTTAATCCTGCCCCTAAGTGGAACTTCCTCTCCAAGAACTTTTTGAACAATGCGACTTGCTCGAGTTCTTCAGCTGTGGACTTTGTTGCGTACGTTTTTTCTAGTACCTAGAAATATCTTGGTACCTAATAGGATTCCGAAGACTCCTCCCCTTTTTTGACTTCGTTCAGCTCGGGAGCAAGTGTCGGTTCCTGTAATTGCTATGCCACATGCTCCTTCCCTTCGCTACTAGAAATTGAGATCGCGTTCATCTCCCTTGATGCCGGTTGGTCTCCTCTTATTTGTTTAATTTCCTCCGGAGTTGGGAATTTCAAAAGTTGATGGTATGTTGATGGCACAACCTTCATTTCGTGTAGCCATGGTCTTCCAAGAATAATATTGTAGCCCATATTGCGGTCTACTACTTCAAAAAGGGCCGTCTTTATTACCCCTTCGACATTCGTAGGCAGTAGAATCTCCCCTCAGATTGTCACGCTTGCTAAATTGAACCCGGGGAGGAGCTTTGTGGCCGGAATGATACTTCCGGTCAACTTGGCTTGTTCCAGCACTCTCCATTGGATAATATTGGCTGAACTTCCCAGGTCCACCAAAACACATTTAATTTTAAAATCTAAAACATTAAGAGAGATTACCAGGGCATCGTTGTACGGTAGTAGGAGTCCATTTGCGTCTTCCTCCGTGAAGGTGATGTTGTCCTCGGCGACTTCCCGGAGTGCTATGGATCACCGATACCTTTGTCTTTTTTGCTGCCGAAAAGGTTACACCATTAATCTCGTTCCCCTCGAAAATCATGTTGATTGTTAGACGAGGGGGATCTTCTCCTACTTTTGAGAGTTCTGTGTTATCCCGGTTGCGACCGTAGTTGTTCTTAGACCGGTCGCTTAAGAATTCTCTGAGATGGTCGTTCTTCAGCAATGTCTCCATCTCCTCGCGCAGGTGAAAACAGTCCCTTGTCCGATGGCCATTAGTCCCATGGTACTCGCACCATAGATTAGGATCCCTTTGACTGGGATCGGATCTTATTGGCCTTGGGAACCAAACTTCTTTAATGTTCCTCATAGTTGACACTAGTTCCACTACACTGACGTTAAAATTGTATTCGGACAGCCTGGGGTAAGTAGAGTCCCGAGGGCCCGATACCTCTTTGTCTTGCAACGACCTGTTATTCCGGCAGCGATCAGCTCTCCTATCGGTAGCGAACCTATCCGCCGACCGAAAACCTCTATCTTATCCTTCGGCCCTTTCGTAGGGCAAAAATCGACCTCTGGAAGACCGTCGGTCTGCGTCAAAATCATTCTTCAACTTTTCCTTATTCTTTTCTCTGTCCTGACCCTTAGTTGATGCCGGGAAACAAAGCTGGTCATCCTCAATTCTTATCTTCGACTCGTAGCGGTTATGAACATCTGCCCATGTTGTTGCCTGAATTCGAGCATTCTTTCTTTCAATTTCCAAGAAGCGTCAGAACTCCTCGGATTCAGCCCTTTAGTAAATGCCTCAGCTGCCCATTCATCCCGCGCGTCCGGTAGCAGCATACTTTCCTTCTGAAATCGGGTCACAAACTTCCGTAGCAATTCAAAATCTCCTTGCGCAATCCTAAATATGTCGGCCATTTGGGCCTATATCTTTCTGGCCCGGCATGGGCCTTGATAAAGGAATCCGCGAGCATCTCGAAGGAATCTATTGGGTGCTCGGGCTAACGTGAATACCATATCAGGGCCCTTTTGTGATGGTCTCCCCGAACTTCTTCAACAATACTGATTCAATTTCGTGCGGAGCTAAGTTGTTTCCTTTCACCATCGTTGTATAAGTGGTGATATGCTCCTGAGGTTCCGAAGTCTCATCATATTTGGCACGTCCGGCATTTTGAACCGCTTCGGGATCAACTCCAGTGTCGCGCTTAGTTTGAACGGAAACTGGTGTACTTCTTTGAGTCCGGTCCTTTCAACACTGGTGGTGCGCCCGGGATTTGATCCATTCGAGCGCTTATTTTCCTCATAAATCGCATAAGTTAGATTTTTAAGGGATCATTCTCGTTGTTGTTACTGGATCCACTGCCATTCCTCCCGGCTCTGTCGAAATTTACCTCACCCCTCTGGGTGTTGTTATCAACCCTTTGTGCTGTTTGATTTGCAGGAGCACTAGGAGGAACTAGACCTCTTCCATTTACATTGTTAGAGGCACCCGACAACGCTTGCTTCAACTCTATCATGACCTGATCTTGTCGTGAGAGATGGCCCATAATAGCCCTTTGTTGCTCCCTTAAGATTTTTGTTGTTTCCACAACGTTCTCGTCTTCAACATCATGAGGAGTTGCCTCTCGAACGTGCTGTGGATACTGTCCGCCATCGACTGGCGTGGCTACGCCCTCCTTGTTGCGGGTATTGCTGATCGAATCTTCATGTTGAGGCTGATTTCTTTGGGCCTCTACGTAGTGCGTGTTGTTGACACCGTTATCTGCCTTTTTTTAATTTTTTTTTGCTAAGAGACAAATAATTTAAATAGGTTAGTAATAGATGCAAGCATCAACCCAATTACGCAACTATCTAGGCCCCTACGGTGGGCGCCAAACTGTTTACCCGTAAAACGGTATAGTTGAATTTATAAGCAAATCGATTTGATCCCAAAATAATAAATAAATTAAATAAAAATGTAAGACATAGCATTGAAATCGAGATAAGATTGCAGATAGCTTGGTTCCGGGAGTAGAGCTTCCGAAGGCAACAGTAAACCAATGAACAATAATTAAAGTATTATTGAGCTTAGAATAATGTGCAGCATAAGTTTGTTAGAAAATTCCTGTCCTTACAATGGTTGTTGAAACCCTTATTTATAGTGACACCTAGGGAACAAGATCCTAGGATCAAATCCCTCTTAAATGACAATTATGGGGGCCATTGAAGAATGTGTAACAGCATGCTATGAATGCCATATTCTGTATAACGTACTACGTATTTAATACTGCAGAATATTCTTCATTGAATACTATCGGGTGACAGCATTCATTTGTCTTCATGAGCAACATTCCCTTAGGGGGCTTTCCGGTGCCAACCGAGACTGTTGTCTCCAGTCTTGACTTCCACCTGTCTTGTTTTTCATCTGTGTCTGTTTTTACGTATCGCTCTATTATAGAAGCAATTAATATGAACCCTATACAATGGAATCAATACATATGGTTTATAGATTCTTTTGCACTAATAATTTGAGCCAAAGAATTTGGGTTGGGGGGTTGGGGGGGGGGGGGTTAATTATGACCAAAAGATGCCGGCAGGCCACAAGCACAAGGAAACGAAAAGAGAAAAACAATATAAGAGACATTCCTTTGTCCCGCCAACTAGTCTCCGTCTGTCTTCATTCGGCAGTTTCTAACGTCAAAATCAAAGTTCGCCCATTTACAGAAATTTACAACAAATTACAAGCATGTTTTTCACTCAACACCTCAAACAATATTCCCTTCTACAATTCCCGGCCACCATCATCCTTATAATTGACACCAACAATCCACATGGACGCGGTTACTGCTACTTCAACATCAAGAAGGTTTCGGTTCAGGGATCACAGTCAAGATATCCTCGCCGATCAAGATTATTCAACCGATGCTCATTCCAGCGCTGACTCTTCCTCTGTTTCCAGCGAATTTGATGCTGATCCTGAGCTCCAGTCCATGACTGCTAAGGTCTAGATTTCCTTAAGCTGTTGATATGCTTATTTACTCGGGAAATAGTGTAGAGTATATTTATCCTATCAGTATTAATAACATATTGTAGCAGACTAACAAGTTACTTCTCTTATTTTTCAGGTTAATCGTTCAGCTTATTATGGACTGTGTAGAAATCATTTTAGTGTCAATACATCCAAGTTAAACTCATTTGCTTAAGGATTTAAGATATATACATATGTAATACATTAGTACTGGGAAGAACTTTTACGCTATCTTTGAAATGTAACCGGTTATAACAATTTTTCAATTTATAAAAGTTTCTTGTTATTGTAGGTCACCTTAACCTGATAATGTAAACAATCTATATTCTGCTTGTTGCTGATAAATTCTGTCTAATGATGTTTGATTTTGCAGGGCATTACTCATCTTTGTTCAGAACTCCTTGAGTTGAAAAGAGAGTCTGGGGAAGATTTTCAGAAAATTGTCTTTACCAATTATTCAGCATTTATAGGGTTAGTTAATAGCTATATAAACCGATGTGAAAAGTTATTTTTGATGAATTTCAGTGACTTCTTCTGTTAGCTGACATTGTCTTTCTTAGCAGGATATTTGAAGGGACTAAAAATCTAGAGAGTGATCTATTGCAACTGAAGTACCAGGTTTCAAAGCAGAAAAGGATCATAAAAGACCTTGCAAATGGCGATTTTCTAAAGTTTCTTGCAGAGGAGACAATAGAATCAAAGCTTGAAGAAAGTTTACCAGATTACACATCTTTGTCCAGCATTATTGCTGCTCACACCAAAGAGGTCTCTGAAATCTTGGATGATCTTCTTTCAGAACAGCGATTGGACGAAGCTATTTCTTTCTTGGAGAAGGAAGCTAAGTTCTTCAAAGATATCAAGTTGGCAGAGACTTCATCAGATGAAGTGATGGGCTATAACTCTACGATATCAGAGAAGAGGTCTATGATTGCAGATCAGTTGACACTGGTTGCACAAAATCCTCGAGTTTCTGCACCTGAACTGCAGAAAACATTGGTTTGGCTTTGCAGAATTGGTGATAATAATCTTGCAACTCAATTATTGCTTAAATATTACCATTCACGTATTGCATCTGGCACACATGATTTGTTTTCTTCAAAGGCATATCCACATGGACTATATCTTCGAGATGTCTCCAAGTTTTCGTTTTCCATGATGTCCCAAGCAGCTAAAAGTTTCACTCTCTTGCATGGCGAGAATTCTCCTCACAAGTCAGAATTACATCGGTGGGTGATGGAACAAACTGTGACTTTTGCTTTCTATTTCAATAATTATGTCAAATCCATGGTAGAGCCAAGTAGTGGCCTATCGACAGCAGTGGAAGCTGTGCAATCCACAATGTCTTATTGCTCTTTGTTAGAGGCACAGGGAATTGAATTGCGATCATCTTTGATAGAGCATATCCGTCCCAGTATACAAAAAGTTTTTCAGATCCATATAGAACACTTAAAGAAAGTGATTGGTATCATTACCTCATCTGATACTTGGGTACTTGGAAGATATCTAGTATCAGGAATTCTATCGCCTGATAGTTATTCCGCTAACAGTGGCCAGCTATCGGAGTATTGTCTGCTTGCAAACAGTGGTCGGAAGTTCATAACACTAAGTCAGGTTTTTCCTATTTCTACCTATGATGTATATATTAGCATATAAGGTATCGGAATAGTTCAAAGTGACTTGAGAAAGATCTAGGGTGCTAGCAGTATAAAAATCTGGTTAATACTTGCCTATATTGCTCCTCTACGTTAATCATTTTTAAGACTAAATTGAAGCCATATCTATTGCTACAACTCATTTTACTTGTTTCCACTACTAGATTGCGTCCCGTCATCACTTGCTTGAGAGGAAAACAGCTTTAATTGTTTATCTCAGAGTTGCCTGATTATAAGTTTATTTCCTACTCAAACTGCAGACAGTTTTTAAGTAATTAAGATGTAAAGCAAGAAGCTTATGGCCCTTTGTCATATTTTGTAGGCTATACTTGAAGAAGTTTCTCCTCTAATCGAAATGCATATTGAAGGCTCACTTCTGAGAGGGCTTTTGGATCTTTTCACAGTGTACACTGCTATTCTCGAAAGTGCACTGCTGAATCCGACAGAAACCGAGGAAGTTGATTCAAGAATCAATATTGCAGAGTCAGTGGAACAACAAATTTCCCTTATTGCTAACTTATCAATAATAGCACAAATATTCTCCAGCATGATTAGGAAGGCTTTCAATGACACCTACCACTTGCAGTTTGAGATTGATGATTATGAGCTCTTCATTCATCGAAACTGTGATCGACTAAGATCTCAATTCTGCAAGAAATTAATTCTTAAATCCTTGCCACTTGAAAGTGATTATAGATGTAATCCTTCTCCAGCATGTTGCACTGATCTAGAGCCCTCTTCTTCTTACCAGGTATACCATTTAGAACAGAAGTATTAACACAGTTATGATACATGTCTTATTTAAATCTTTTCACTCACAGGAAGGCCGCTTGTTGGATAATATAATGATAAAAGTATATTATTTGTCCACTTTTATGGATTAAAACTTTTTTGTTTGGGACATCAAACTACCAGGAACTGTATTTCGCGTTAAGGAAACTAAAAGAGCATGCCGAGGACACTGTTATCAAAATGAATTGGTTAAAGGATCTATTCGGTGAGCTGATGGAGATGATTTTGGATAAAGAAGATATTTCGAACATCACTGAAGAGAATTTGCCAAACGAAAGGTGTCGCAAGTTTATACAGGTATATGCATTTTCTTTCTCTAGATTAAGCTTTGATTCCACAACCCTTGCCTTGGCTTTTCTAATTCACAATTGTGGCAGTCAGTCTGCAATCAAGAAAAATTTCAGGTGAATAAGTTCCAATATAGATACAAAATTGACGTTGTACCGACAAAATAATTGTAAATAAGAAAACAAATATAGACGGAATAGGTGAATGTTGGAAATATTGGAATGAAATCACGGAAATTCTCTAATTGCTTGAGGCGTGTCATGGATGACACTGTCCTTGATATTTCACCCGGTTTTGGTATATCCTAGAATTCAACAAGCTCTTCTAGTATAAAACTAGGAGCAGAAACTAACAAAGATTTATTCTTGCTAGAAAATTCAGCAGAAGGAAGGAGAGTTTTTCTGTATACTTGGTTTCACTCACAAAAGGAAAGAATGTATGTATATATAGGTGAATAGAATCAAGAAGTTATAATGGGTGAGTAATGGTGCAACGGCTACAATTATGGAATAATGACCCGTTATTGTGTGAAACAATAAAGATAATAAATGTCCAATAAAATGAATCTAGACACTTTCAGAAAATATGAATCCTGACGCTTCCTTTTGAAATATCATATTCAGTATTTTTTTAACAGTGAATGCAGTGGCCCTATTCTGTTGAAAATAAGAGAAGAATTTAGTTTCTGTTTGTGTAGGGATCATGTGATAGATGGATTTATCTGCTTTCGTGCTTCGCCTTCTTTCACAGTTTTTGAGTGAATACTCATTTTGTATTTTAAACAGCTTAGTCTTGACATCCACTTTCTCCTTGAAATTGCTAAATGGGGAGGATACTTGTCTGATACTGTCATGAATGCCTATTCGGATTATGAATCTCGTACAAAATCTGCATTCCTCTCAGCTGGGATGGATCCTGAAAGGTAACTTTTCTTTCATGATGGCGATCAAAAACTTTTCATCTCCTATGGACAGAATATATTGTTGAGTTTGGTTTCTAGACACGGGCAACGCACAAATATGTTCACACGAACATGTCAACTAAAAGACGAGCACAAGTAACTGTCCATAATAAGTAAAATTAGTAGCATGGAAAAAAAAAGTGGCATTAGCCTGGTGTAATAGGTTAAATTTACACTAATTAGTGTAAACATTCTTTATTTAGATTGTGTTGGCTGAGAACTGGTTGATCCAGTTTGGGAAAAGAGCAGAAAAGGATAGACTTCCTTCGAAAATATTCAGTTTTCCAGCATATTGTCTTGTTATTTTGCAGGCGCATGAGCTATACTGGATGGGCGACAAGGACTGCTATTGAAACACTACAGAAGCTGCATGAAGTTGATAAAAGGGAAATTCATAGCAATGAGATTATTGATGCTACTGAAGAAGAAACAAATGAATCTAATTTACACAACTCTACTGAATCATTTGGGAGCAATGATGCTACTAACTCGGTAGAGGTATTAAGACCCCTGGATGCACCAGAGGTTACATCTTGTACCAAGATTCTGGAAACATGTGTTGTACCTAAGGAAGGTGATGAAGATGTTGAAGAATAAAATGGCCTTTATCATAGTAATATTGTGAATTTTGTTGCTGAGACAGAAAGGTACTTCTGTTGAAGTAGAAGGAAATGAAAGCAAGCCATTATCTCTGGATAATGAACTTTTAAAAAACGGGTTGAATATGGATAAGAACTATATTATCCATTTAGATAATCAATGGATAACTAATGGATTTAACTTTTACATGTGTAAAACCTCAAATTGGGGGTTCCTTAAGTTTGGGATACTATGAATTCTCCCAAAAGTGATCATATTCAATGAGTCATGGATAATGTGGATATCCATATTTTGAGTCGGTTAATCCATTTTTATCTGTATTAAATATGGGTTGGGTCGGATAATTTATCTATTTTTGCATTACCCGTTTTTTGACCCGTCCCATATCCGACCCGACCTGCCTTTTTGCTATCCCTAGTCGTACTTGACAACCAAAGATAAAACAACACATGCAAGATTTATTCTTTCGGTAAGACTTGTGTATTTAACAAGACATGTAGAATGAAGATAGTGCAAATTTATGTCCGTTTGGCAAAACTTGCCAATACTGCGCATTCGACAAGACTTGTGAACAATTTAACAAGATACGTAGAATGAAAATAGTACCAATTGTGCATGTCTGGCAAAACTTGAGAATAATTGAACAACACCTGCAAGATTTGCTCGTCAGATGACTTGTGAATAATTTGACAAGATAGGTAGAATGTAGATAATATCAAGTTATATCCGTCCAACAATTTTTTTGAACAATTAAATGACACAGGTTTGCCCATCCCGCAAGACTTCTGAATAATTTAACAAGATATATTGAATGGAGATAATACCAAAGCTATGTCTCGCCTTACATAATTTGTGAACGAAGCAAGATTCTTATATCCATCAAAATATGAGAACAATTTTACAATAAATGTGGAATGAAGATAGTACCAAAGTTGCGTCCCCGTCCGACATAATTTTGAACAATTGAACAAGCATAATTATTCCATGGTGTAGGATAAAGGCTATTTTTGCAAATCTTTGTTAAAGGGGATAAAATATAAATAGTGACCTCAAGTGGTAAAAATGACACCAAATAGCCGCTTCGAGTACCCCTATCTTAAACCTGTCCAATTTTTAAAAACTATTTAAAGTTTAGCCTGTTTGGCAAATTTCAAGCACACTCATTTCAAATTTGGATCATTGTGTCCGAAGCTATGCTTTGACGGAACCTTGGTCTTATTGAACTGCATGCAACTCAGACTTTAGACCCACAAATTTAACTTCAGACTCGACGTTTTGGAGTTGATTTTGAAATGGCTAAGTTTTAAACAATTTTATAAATATCAACTAAATAGGGGTCTTCAAAACGGCTATTTGTGCACTTTCCCCCCTCAAATCAGGTCAAAATAGCACGGGCTAGCCAGTTTTCGGACTGGTCATTCAAAAATAGCCAGCGTTTGCCAAGTCATTGAAAAATAGCCACTATTTTGCTGCAATAGAGACTGGTCCAGCATAATATACTAGAGTTCGGTGCACCTGTGTATGAACTTCCAGTATATTATGCTGGACCGGTATACTTTGCTGGCTCCAGTATAATATATTGGAGTTCCAGTATACTTTGACGACGGAAATCTCCAGTATATTATGCTGGAGTATTTTTCGGATTTTGAACAGTATTTTCGTTCAGATTTATCTTTACGCGAAAAGTGACTAAATTTCGATGACTTTTGAAACTGTGGCTATTTTTGAATGACCACTTGTAAATTTGGCTATTTGTTCACTTCCCCCCTCAAATCACACTAGAGGGATGAACGAAGCCCATAGTGGAAATGCAAAGAAGCGGGAGACAATTCCTGGAAACAATCAAGCGTCAACTTCCAACGCTGTACCGCTCAAAGAATCTGCAAGTAAAACGGTATTCACCGTTGAATTATCAGCTGCCACAAGAAATCATCAGATCCTGACCGTCCAACAACATTGACCCTAACGAGTATATGTAAAGGTACACTGCAAAATTCCCCTTTTGATTTCTCGTTTGTCCTTTCAACTGACAATTTGCTTCTGTTCTGTAATTTCGTTATATTATGGCAATTAACATCTGCTCAAGGTTGTAATATCGTGGGGGGCATTTGTAGCTTGATTTCTTTTAGTTTCTTGATTTTTGCTGTTGTTGTTTAGAAAATTTCTAGTGTCTATTGCAGACTAACAGTAGATGCTTGCTAACTAATGGTTTGTGATTCTTGGGTTGTGATAATTTTTAGTACTTCTGTCCCATTTTATGTGGTGTAGCTTGACTTGACACGTAGTTTAACAAAGAAAGATTTCTAAAACTTGTGTTCTAAAACAAGCCGTAGACATTTGTATGACTATACAACATCTCATTAAAGGTAAAATGGTAAGTTTTAAGTTAAACTAGATATAAGAACTTGTTACTCGTTTTGGAACGAACTAAAAAGGAAAGTGTGCACGTAAAATGGGACAGAGGGCGTAAATGATTTGTTAGATTAAACGAAGGATGGAACCAGTGGCGAAGCTAGGAATTTTCTCGAGGGTGTTCAAATTTAAAAGAAGTGAAAAAAATTTCCGATAAAGGGTGTTCAATATATGTTATATACCTCTAAAACGTAATATTTTACCTATGTACAGAGTGCAATTTTTCGACAAAGGGTGGTCGGTTGACCACCCTTATATACATGTGGCTTCGCCACTGGATGGAACAAAGTGTTAGTGTTAAATTGTTCTCTCCTATATGTTTTCTTCTTTTTGATTATTTAAACACATGCGATCCTTTCATTTTCAGATTATAGAGAACATTACAGTAAAGAGGTCAGTAGAGGATGATTCAAATGTGGTGGACGTCGAATGCGCTGCATAGTTGGGCATGAAGATATATTTCGTGAAAGGGATGTGAAGAGGCAAAAGAAACTAAGTTCTGGTTCGTCACAAATGAGCTTAGGAAGTCATGGTCATATTCAACTAAGATGTCCTAGTTCTGAAATTGTTGCTAACTCCGACTGCAATATGGAGTATAAAAATAGTGAATCTCCTTCTGTCGGTGAGCCAAAATCAGTTTCAGATCAACATCCTCTGAAAGGAAGTGTTTGTGGTTTCTGTCATTCGCCTAAGACCACAAAGGTGAGTTTATCTGTGCTGTATATGATAGGAGAAACTTCAAACTATCAGCTGCTATTATTTTGTTGTTTTAAGAAATTTTTAACACCCTCTTCCACTGCTATCACTTGGAAAATATCCACTTATTTTGTGTTCCACATCCTTTGCTCATGTACACATGTTTATCTGGACATATTCTGCTACATTTAAGTAATTCTTATTATTAATCTCTCCAGTCTGTTAAATATTTGCAGGGAACTGGACAGTTCTTGTACTATGCTAATGGAAAGGAAGTGGTGGAAAATGTCACTTCTCCTTCCAAAGTCATATGTGTGCACAGTAAATGCATTGAATGGTATGTGGATTTAATCATTTAGCTGTATATTCCAATATAATATTGTTTTATGATTGCGCAACTGATAAGGGAGAGCTTTAGGTATGTAGTTAAGTGGCAGCTCTAGACTGTGCTTCATCTTTATGCTTGAGTTGTTTAGGTAGATGGTTATGAACAATTGGAGCTGAAGAAAAAAAGGGAACTTTTGGAACTTTAGCAACCTTCGACGCAATTGAATAGTATAATCTGTAGTCAAATTAGAATTATCCAGATAGGGCTTGAAATTATAGGGAGCCAACCAGGCAATGTCTGTAGGCTGTTTCCGCTACAATACTTGTACATCCACTACTAAAGCATAATCTCGATTCTTATATTACATCATATTCTTGTTGACCCTTTAGCATTCTGCAGTACTTCGTAAAACTGCATAATTGTTTAATAGTCGATACCACTTAAGTTTTGATTGGGTACCTTTTCGGTACTTAATTTCATTGGTTACAGGACACCTCGAGTATTTTATGATGGAGATACTATAAAGAATTTGAATATTGAACTGGCAAGAGCTGCAAAACTCAGATGTAGTAGTTGTGGCGTGAAAGGTGCAGCACTTGGCTGCTACGTAAAATCATGCCGGAGGAGTTATCACGTTCCCTGTGCATTTGAAATCCAGGATTGTCGATGGGATATGGTAAGTAAATACAGCTAGTTAATAAATTGATCAGATTGAGCACTGTAAAGTTTTTGTCTTCATGTTTTCCATAAAAGTTCACATCTATTTTAATTACAGGACAACTATCTCATGTTGTGCCCAATTCATAAATCTACTAAATTTCCAACTGAGAAGTCAAATTCCAGGAAGCACGTTAGGAGGGAAGTGCATCGAGCGACTTCAGATATTCCTCCTCTGTAAGAAGAGTGTATATAGTGGCACTTCTGTGCTGTTTCTTTACCTCTTAAATTATAGGTGGTTGATGAGAATGAGAAAAACATCATTATAGGAATCTAAATATCTGCGTGTTATCAATTGAATCCAGTCACTCCTCTCAAGCTCCTTGGTTTAAGGCTGATAAGTTAGAAATTGGTGATACCTTCCTAATACCGTCAATATTTTATGCTGATTCTCTAGATATGTAGACTACTATTTTTCCTACATAAATGGTTGTCTTGATATAGAGAAGTGGATGATGATTGAATGACAAAAGTGTTGGTGTCACTTGTCATAAACATGTTGTGGATCTACCTTTGTTGATAGTTGGAAAGTTGGCGCGGTAAAGAACTGCTTGAATTGCTGGTATAATTAGGTTTCAGAATGCTTTTGCTAAGCAAGTGTATCTCATTTGATTGTCATGTAAGCTGAGGCCTGTTAGCATTATTATATCTAATAGGAGTATCTTTACATACAGATGTACATAGAAGCTTTGCTTATTATTTTAAGTTATTGGTCCAGTTATATTAGTCATTGGAATTTACTTGGTAGTCTAATAGGGTTGATCCATTAATGTAAAATGGGGATACTTCTAGTGAAGTAATATCCTTGTCAAGAAGTTGGCTAGATTATCTGTTGGAATTAATTGGATCGGGATGCTCTGTTACAGGAAGGTAGCCACATTTCTTAATTGAAAAACATCATATTGATTCATGAAATACATAACAAACATGCTGTTTGTATTGTCTTACATTTGATTTTAATTCTTTTAAATAAATCAAAGAGCAATTTAGATATGTATATTCATTAGAATGTGCAGGATAGTTGTCCTCATCTGTAAGCAATTCCATAACTATTTTTTTCCCTTTTGACCATTGTGAATGTAGAACCGCTGAGCAATTGAGTTTTTGGGCAAGATCATCAGGTGGACCCAAAGAATGGGTTCTTTGTGGGTCTGCTCTATCCTCAGAAGAGAAGGTTGGTTTATCCTTTCTGCATTGACAATATGCTTTGCTAGTTCTTTAATATGTCCCATGTATCTGTTTTAAGACTGTTTGATCAGTCTCACAACAATGAATGTTGTTACGAGTGAGATGGTCCTTTTTATGGGCAAGCTTTGCCTCTGGCATATTTCGAGGCAGAAGCTGTTTGTTTATTTCAGCTCTCTCTGGTACACTAGAGGAGTCAACTTATTATGGTCATGCATAGACGGTTTAGCTTGGTGTCTGTCAACATTAAGTTAAATTGTCTCAGTCCTGGTTGATGCATGTCCTGGAAAAAGCAGTGTATGAAAGATCCGCTAATTTTGGTGTCTTTACTTTTATTTATTTAATTGTACAGTATTTGTACTTTGACCCACGTCTGAGGCCAACCATTAGGTCCAACTGCAGCCTTCGAAACTTGGGATAATGGCCCTTCTCCACTTAAATACGAGGCTTAGTTCTCACAACGCAGGGCACGACTATGACTTAAGTCACAAGTCCCTCAACCTTTGCCACTTGAACTGAGCCCTGGAGGCATTTGCACATTGTCCCACTTAAATGTCCTTTTATTTTGAGAGAAACCTTTGAAGTAGAAAAAATGGTAGCTTCTTTCTATTTGAGATTTGTTAGTTGAAATATTCTAACATTATTAATTCATCTTAGTGTATTTTTTGATATTTTTGCAGTATGTGTTGGTGACATTTGCTAATATGTGCGGTGCGACTGTGTGCAAGTTTTGGAAACCAAATGTCACACATGTTGTTGCAGCAACAGATGAAAAGGGTGCATGCACCAGAACATTTAAAGTTCTCATGGCAATTTTGAGTGGAAAATGGATCCTAACGATGGACTGTAAGCGCTTTTCCTTTTATCTAAAAGTACTTTTGAAATAGAACGTTCATTTAGTTCTCCATGTAATGAGGGGCATGTTGAATTGCCATAGAAGCAAGAAATGCAATAGGTAGAATGCGTGGTGACATAAGAATAAAGTTTCTTTGGTGTTGAGCGGAGTGAAATATGAGAGAAACACCTGGGTACATGTGCAACTTCTCCAAAGCCACTTGAGGGCATGGGCTTCTTTTGGAAATAGTTTGCTTGGCCTTGGTCAATAATTATCTAGTTGCCTAATGGAAAAGTATGATTATTTTATTTAAATTCCATTCTCCTATCAATGGACTTATTTGTTTGCAGGGGTAAAAGCTTGTATTGCAGCAAATGGTCCAATAAAGGAAGAACTTTATGAAATAAGTCTAGACAATCACGGCTGTTCGGGGGGCCCCAAAGCTGGAAGGCTCAGGGCCTCAACTAATGTAAGTGTCTGGTAATTGCAAGATATTGAGAAGCTAGTTTATTATATTCCTTGTGAATACAATTCAAGGCTAAAGATCTTTTCTTTTTCTGGTTCCAAACTGATGTAGCACATGTTAAAAGCTTTTATGTATACAGTAAACCCTTCTTCCTTTATACTGCAGGCTCCAAAGCTTTTTGATGGTTTCAAGTTTTATTTGAGTGGGGATTTTGTGCCAACTTACAAAGTTGACTTGTTAAATCTAGTTGAGAAGGCTGGAGGCGCTAGCATTCAGAGCAAGGAACAGTTGGTGGAACAGACTCATGCTGCACAGGAAACTCACCCACTTTATCTAGTTGTATACAACTGTGATCCCCCACGGGGTTGCATGTTTGAAGAAGAAAGCGTTATTTTGAAGCAAAGATTAGCTGAAGCTGAGGATCTCGCCAAGCAAATTGGTTGTCAGGTCATTCAGCATACTTGGATTCTGGAGTGTGTTGCTGCATGTAAACTGGTACCTTTTTGCTGATGAGGGATTGTCACGGGTAAAAAGGGTCCTGCTAGATGACTGTATATCTGTGATAGATGAGGGTAAAGCATCTCTGATGTTTGTATGACGTTATACATATTTCGTACCAGGGCAACCTAGTTGAATCTTAACGCCAGATGTCCTTCCAATATTTTGTGTATAGTATGCGAAACAAAAATAAACTTTGATCTTATGTACTGAACATACTGAAAAGAAATCCATTATGAAATAGAGTTATAACAGGCTTGGCTCTACCTATAGTTTTGGAAATGTGTAAGTTACACAAGTTTGTATTACACATTTCTGTAAAGTATGTAGCTGAAGGAGGTTTGCAAACTGGCTATTTAACCGGTGCCTTCTATTCTCCAATTATGGGCTTGCTAAGTGAGGGTTGCATGGCCTCCTGCAACTCTTTGTTGGTTTTGTTGGTCTCGGTGTTATAAACGAAGAATTTTGCTACAACCAGGAAGAAAAGAAGGTTGAGAAAGCTCAAGACAGCATAAAATGCATAATAATAGTCCAAATGAGAGATATTGAGGTTGTCCAAAATCCACCCATGGTGTCCATTTTTCTTGGTAACATCTGCCACAGTTGACAGCAGAAAGCTGCTGAGGAAGTAGCCAACACCCAAGCTTGTTGTAGCATATGCAGTCCCAAGGCTTTTCATGCTCTCTGGTGCTTGGTCATAGAAAAACTCAAGTTTTGCAACTTCCACAAAGTTATCAGCAACTCCCATCAAGGCAAACTGGGGAAGCAGAAAGAAAATAGATAGAGGAACAATCTGTTTTTTCCCAGTAATTCCATGTTCTCTAGCTACACTGAGCCTCTTCCTTTCAACGAACGAGGCAATGAGCATGACTATGATATGCAAGACAAGGCCAATCCCGAGTCTCTGCAACAATGTGATCCCCCTCGGGTTCTTTGTGTATTTTCGAAGAATAGGTACCATGACGCGGTCATAGACAACAAGGGTGACCAACATGGAGATTGTTATGAAGACAGTAAGAGATGCTGGAGGAATTTCAAAATTCGGACCGATTCCTCTCTTCAAGGTTGTCCCTTGCTTAATGAAGAGGGTATGTGTCTGTGCTAGCATTGTGCTTGGTATGAACATTGCTATAAGTATTGGAAGCATTTTTATCATTTGCTTAGCTTCTTCAACTTGGGTTACTGGACAAAGTTTCCAGGGTGAACTAGGCCCTGTTTTCACTGCTGCCTTGTCAAGAGGTCTGCATTCAACATGATCTCAATCACATATAATCCAAGTAAAGAAATTAAAAACCAGCATTAATATGGTCCTAATAATATGGTTAAATCAACTAATCCAAAGTGTAGCTTTTGTACACCTACATTATAAAAGAATTTTTATACTATCCGGTCACCCTAAAAGTAACTGTCCGTAACCTCAAAAATAAAGCACGTTATATGCTACAACAAGTTAAAATACACTAAAGTGCAGCCCGATACATTAAGCGCCCGCTATACGCGGGGTCCAAAGAAGGGCCGGACCACATTAGGTCTATTGGACGCAACCTTATCTTGCGTTTCTCCAAGAGGTTCTTTTCGCGGCTTGAACCCTTGACTTCCTGGCCACAAGCGGAAACGTTGACCAAGTGTAAATTGTCTGTGTAAATGAATTAAATATCACAAGATTTTCACCTTAAAGAAATGGTATGATCAATTCTGAAGAGCCCTGCAGAGGTAGCGTACTCTTCCAAGCTCAGCTCATGAAGCTCCTTTGGGTCATTAGGGACAACAACCTTCCACTTCCTAGCTGCAGCAACAACAACTTGAGCAATCCTAGTGAATGGACTTCCTGTAGGTTTTTTATGCCTATAGTAACGAGTCCCTAACAAGAAAACCATCACTGAAACAGCAAGTCCAGCAGTTGGAAGACCATAACCAGCACCCCATCCCACATTATCTTGCAAGTAAACTAGGAAACTGTTGGAGAAGAGAGTTCCAAGAAAGATACTAAACATCCACCAGTTGAAAAAGGAGAGCTTTTGAAATCTCTCTTTAGGCTCAAAATCATCAAACTGGTCTGCACCCATTGTTGAGATATTAGGCTTTGTTCCACCTGTTCCAATAGCAACTATGTACAAAGCACAATAGAAGATGCCAATTTGGAAAGCAGAAGCCCTTTTAGTACAGTCTATATCTTTGATTCCTTTGCCACAACTTGGAGGTCTCAAGCCTTCCAATGAAACAGCCATTGTCAATAAGCACATTCCCTATTTTTATGTGTGCCAAAGAACAAGACACAGGGACAGGATTAAGCAGGCAAAAGAGTGTATGATGTGAATGAAGAACTAGTAAATGTCAGGTGATTGAATTTTTAATTTGTTATTGTGCAGAAGTTAATTAAACTCAACTCAAAATAAAAAATAAGTTAGTAATTACCAGAATGTAAATAGCAGAAGAGATGAGAAAAGTCGAGAAACGACCAAGATGAGCATCAGCAATGTAAGCACCAAGAATGGGAGTCAACCAAACAGTACCAACCCAGTTGGTCACATTGTTTGAGGATTTCACTGTGCCTTCATGCAGTTCATCTGTTAGATATATCACTAGATTTGTTGCTATCCCGTAGAATGCCATCCTCTCAAATACTTCATATCCTGTACGTATGTGCATAAATATATATTCAAGCATTTAATTTCATCAACATTTTTCACTTAGTACCATACTATATACATATGGGGCACCTCATAATATATCCTAGTATACTACGTTACACACGTGCATGACATGCAACAATATAAGTTGTTCTATATTGGTCGAGCACACGAATTGTTATGTCTCGATCATATTTTTTTTGACAATTCTTACTTCATAAGTTAGTTTTTACGGTTGAATTATACATGTAATCCATTTTCTTAACTGATTTAATCTAGAGCGGACTTTACTTGATCGATCATATATTAGTTATTACACTTAGTTCAGGTCTTTTTGTATGAGAGATCTCGTTCCAACAGTTTTTCCGTGAAGGCTCTCTTTTATTTTCAGGATGATTTTAAGTATCATGAGTTTCCTAATAATCTGACCTTAATGTGAGATGTTTTACAATTTTAAGGAGAAGAAAGTGGGGAAGACACGAATTGTTTTGATTGTTGAGACTTTGAGATTATTTAATTACACCTTTAATTTGAGGCTATCAAGAGATGTTTAGTACCTCACTTAAAAGGTTGTCTAGCTTGTTGTATACGGTCGAAATCAGGTATGCCCGGTTTCATGGGCTCGAAGATTCACTTTAAGCCCGAGTTCAGGATAGACCGAGTTCAAGCCCGATGGACCAAGCTCGAGCCCGATGACAGAGTACAAGGCTCGAAGATCGAAGTACGCAATGAGCACCGAAGACGAGTATGACCAGCCCCGAGATAATGCCGTTATGGATTTGTAACAGAAAAGAGCAAGATTCCCGCCACATCCCCAAGATCATAGCGTAAATTCCGGAATAGATTTATACGAATTAGTACGAATCCGTACTAGGCGGTTAGACAACTGCCCCAGTGAGATTCCTTACTGTAAATAGAAATGTACCTTATTTTAGGATTCCCCTACTATATAAAGGGGACCCCAATCATTTGTAACCCATCATCAATCAATGACAAAAGAATATATTCTCTTACTTTCTTGCTCATTATTCATCATAATTGTCTCTTAACTTTATTGTCTTTACTTTACTGTTCTTGCTGACCTACCTCGAGGCCATCTAGCTCGAGGTCAAGACTTGCTTAAGCACTGGTTTGATTCAACTTTCTTCTCTAGTTTATACGTTTGATTTCTTAGTTATTAATTAGTATTGAACTAAATCACGTATCTTTAAAACCACAAACAAGTTTAATTGTTACTCGTATTTTAGAGGTAAACAGTTTGGCGCCCACCGTGGGGCTGAAGATAATAGTGATTATTTCAGTACTGATTCAGGTAACACACGTTATTTTCACACTTGTTCTTGTCAAGAATTTTTGTTCTCAGGTTAAAACATGTCAAAATCACAAAACGCACCCGTACACGGCAATGATGGTCTTGGATTTCATGGGGAAAACAACAATTTGGCTGCTCCGGGAGCCGGTGTACCACCGATTAACCCTGGGGAAGTGCCAAATGTGGAACCAGTCGATGTTAGTTCACACATTGCTTTGAATGCGTATTTACGCGCAGACCCTGGAGGAAGTATACGCAGGGAAGTCCGATCTGGTGGCCAAGGAACGCAGGGTATAGGAGATAGGGGAGTTAGCCTCCAAGTAATATTCGAGATGCTACAAGCTTTACAGGTTGCTATCGCTCAGCTTCAAAGTCAGTATAAAACTCCAAGTGTGGTCGAACTAGAAATCACTCGCCGTACTAAGTCGGTGCCTGAAAGACCAAACGGTAATGGCTTGGGGAATGACCCCACGATTATGAGGATGCTCGAAGAACTCACCAAAAGAATCGAGTCGGGGGAGAAAAAGATTGAGGATAGTGACAAAAAGGTAGAGACGTATAACTCCCGTATTGATCAAATACCGGGAGCACCCCCAGTCTTGAAAGGTTTGGATGCCAAGAAATTCGTACAAAAACCATTCCCTCCGAGTGCGGCTCCGAAGCCTATTCCTAAAAAGTTCCGTATGCCCGATATACCTAAGTACAACGGGACGAGCGATCCTAATGAACACGTTACCTCGTACATTTGCGGGATTAAAGGAAATGACTTAAATGATGATGAGATCGAGTCGGTTTTGTTGAAATTTTTTGGGAAAACTTTGTCAAAAGGAGCAATGATTTGGTATCATAACTTGCCACCAAATTCTATCGATTCGTTTGCTATGTTAACAGACGCCTTCATAAAGGCGCACGCCAGGGCCATAAAGGTTGCGACAAGGAAATCGGACGTTTTTAAGATAAGACAGAGGAATGATGAGATTCTAAGGGAGTTCGTATCCCGATTTCAAATGGATCGAATGGAATTACCACCGGTCATAGACGATTGGGCCGTGCAAGCTTTTACACAGGGGTTGAACGAGCGGAGTTCGATCACGTCGCGACAGTTGAAGCAAAATCTGATCGAGTATCCAGCTATAACTTGGGCAGATGTGCATAATCGCTACCAATCGAAGATCAGGGTCGAGGACGACCAGCTGAGATCCCCCTCGGGTTCGGTTCATCCAAATAGATTGGCAGTTAAGGCCCCGAGGGATACGGACAGGGAACCAAGATCAAACAGGGAAGGGTATCAGCCATATGTCGCCGATCGGAGAAACAACGCTTCGGGGCGTAACCCTCGTCGGAACGATCGAAGAAATGATCGAGGTCAAAACTCTCGGGGACTTATGAGTAAGAGCCGTTTTGATAAACATCCGATCCAGCGGAAGCACCTCGGTTATCGGAGTATAATTTCAGTGTCGATGCATCGGGTATCGTATCAGCCATCGGAAGGATCAAAGACACCAGGTGGCCTAGACCTATACAAACCGATCCTTCTCAAAGAAATCCAAACTTGAAGTGTAAATATCATGGCACACATGGCCATAGGACCGAAGACTGCAGACAACTGAGGGAGGAGGTAGCTCGATTGTTCAACGAAGGTCATCTTGGAGAGTTTCTCAGTGATCGAGATACGAACCACTTCAGAGAAAGAGACGCCAACAAAAAGAATGAGTAGGAAGAGCCGCAGCATGTAATACATATGATCGTTCGTGGGGCCGATGTTCCATAAAGGCCTATATTCAAACATACCAAGGTGTCGATTACCAGAGAAAAACAAACCCGGAGTTATGTGCCCGAGGGCATCCTATCATTCAATGACGAGGAAGCGAAAGGCATTTCTCAGACGCACAATGACGCCCTGGTAATTTCTATTTTGTTAAATAAAATTCAAGTTAAACGTGTTCTAGTGGATCCAGGTAGTTCAGCAAACATAATCAGATCGAGGGTCGTAGAGCAGCTCGTCCTACAGGACCAAATTGTTCCTGTATCTCGAATCTTAAATGGCTTCAACATGGCGAGTGAAACAATGAAGGGGGAGATAATCCTGCCAGTGAACGTGGCCGGGACCATCCAAGATACAAAATTCCATGTCATTGAAGGCGACATGAGATATAACGCTCTACTCAGGAGGCCATGGATCCACAACATGAGGGCAGTACCTTCAACCCTTCATCAGATGATGAAATTCCCAACAGTGGATGGTGTGAAAACAGTTTACGGAGAACAACAAGCTGCAAAGGAAATGTTTGCAGTTGATGGGGTGACACTGATACCAGAGTCTTCGGCCTCAGAAAAATCGAGCACCAAAGATAAGCAGACGGCCAAATAGCAATCACCGTCCCCAGCTTTGATCGAATCGGAGAAACAGGTAATTGAAGAAGAAGAGGAGGATTTCCTTACTCCTCGAACTTTCGTTGTTCCCGAAGACTCAGATGCAACCAAGTCAACGATCGAGGAGCTGGAACAGGTCATAGTGATCGAGTATATGCCCGAGAGAAAGGTATACCTGGGAACGGGGTTAACCCCCGAACTCAGGAAAAAACTCATTCAATTTCTTATTGATAATATGGATTGTTTTGCTTGGTCCCATTTAGATATGACAGGGATCCCACCAGAAATAACAACACACCGGCTGAGCCTCGACCCCAGGTTCAAGCCAGTAAAGCAAAAAAAAAAAAGGCCCCAGTCCGAGGTGAAGCATGCATTTATAAAGGATGAGGTAACTAAACTTCTTAAAATAGGGTCCATTTGGGAGATTATAAGGATTTGAACACGGCATGTCCTAAAGACTCCTTTCCACTGCCCAACATCGATTGCATGATCGAAGCCATGGCTGGCCACGAGATCCTTACCTTTCTCGATGCCTACTCCGGGTACAACCAAATTCAAATGAACCCGGAGGACCAGGAGAAGACCTCGTTTATCACTAAGTTTGGAATGTACTATTACAATTTAATGCCCTTCGGGCTAGAAATGCTGGAGCCACGTACCAACGCCTAGTTAAAGAAATGTTCGAGGAACAGATAGGTAAATCAATGGAAGTTTATATAGACGATATGTTGGTTAAGTCCCTGCGCGCAGAGGACCATTTAACTCATGGCAGGAAACATTCAAAATCTTGAGGAAGTACAACATGAAGCTTAACCCAGAAAAATGTGCCTTCGGAGTCGGCTCGGGCAAGTTCCTCTGCTTCATGGTATCAAATCGGGGAATCAGAATCAACCCTGACAAAATCAAGGCCATCGAAGATATCAGTATCATAGATAGTGTGAAAGCCGTGCAAAGGCTAATAGGACGAGTAGCCGCCTTGGGTCGATTCATTTCGAGGTCATCGGATCGAAGCCACAGGTTCTTTTCCTTACTCAAAAAGAAAAATGATTTCGCATGGACCCCGGAATGCCAACAAGCATTGGAGGAATTGAAGCGATACTTGTCGAGCCCACCTCTGTTTCACACTCCGAAGGTAGATGAAAAGCTTTACTAATATTTGGCAGTGTCTGAGATAGCGGTAAGTAGGGCGCTAGTTTGGGAAGAGCAAGGTACGCAGTTCCCTGTCTATTACGTGAGTCGAACTCTAGGAGATGCTGAAACTAGATATCCACACTTAGAAAAAATGGCACCTGCATTAATAAGCACATCTAGAAAGTTA